GAGCTGCCTAGCTAGGCATTCTTATGTGCTTTAAATACCATAAAAGAACAAGTCACCTCTCCTGCTAACTGACTATAGAGAGAGTCCTATTGCTCACGATAGCTAGATAGGTTGATGTGCCACGAACTTCCTAAGCATGCCGGCTGTAATGGATACATCCAGGTGGACAGGATTTTTCTGCTAGAAATCAGAAACAAGACTGATTAGCTTTGTCACAAAATGTTATTTATTGAATGGTACTATACTTAGTACAGATATACAAATTGTGACTCAAAAAAAGCTCACAATCTAAGTCATGATTTGGCCAACACATTCCACAAAGAGATGAGAAGTTCACATTCAAACTGAATTTTCAAAGTTTTGTTAACATTTGGCTTAGATTTAATATATTCCATACAATAATTTACTCTTCAGTTTATCCACTGCATAAAGTGGAACTACAGCACAGAAGTTCCCTCAGCACTAAATGCCTCAAACCTTTACACATTTTGAATGCATCTTTATATTTACAACACAGATCCAAACACCAGAACTCTACAGCTACCCTTCCCCCACGTTAGGCATCTCATTCAGTCAATTCTAAACATGCCTCGTGTGCATTATGCTTTATTAAGCCTTCAGAGCTTATCAATACTATACATCACTGCTCATTAAACTCCCTAGAGAACTGTCCTTTTGCCTGCTGCTTTCCAAAGTACCAGGTTTAATAATAATTAAAAAAAAAAAAAATACAAAACCCACCCTCAAACCAGAACTTAGACAGAAACTGTACCTAAACCATCAAACCATTTCTGTCAAATTAGCACAACAGATCTCTCAAGTATATTGACAGGTGCCTCCGCTGCTTCTTTAGATAAACCTAACACAGGTCTCGTAGCTGAGAGCGAGCACTATCAAACAGGTGCTTCTTACTCTGTAGAAAAATAATGCACCTGCATTACATTCAACCACGTAGAAAAATTTATATAAGAAACCAGAATATGAAACAAATTAATATATATATATATAATTTATTACAGGCTTCAGTTAGTAACTACTGTTTAGAAGCGTCCAAGTTAGCCCCTCAGAACAGGTTCCCCCAGAGGACGGTTGAGGGATGCGGATACCCTGCCTTGTAAGGCCGCACCTTCAGAAAGCATCCCTCACTGGCAGGGAAGGGCCAGGCAAGTCTACCATCCCCCACGCACCCCGAAAAACACTCAGCCCCGTCAACACTAGTCTTCCCCTGCCCTTGCTGCGTCCTCCTGTGAAGAGGTGACCTCAGCCGCCTGGCAGGACGTTTTTTTTAGGGGGCCAGGCGGCCATCACAACCACCAGCACCGTGTGCAGAGGCCACCGGGCAACGAGAGAGGGTCACGTCCCCCTCCCTCCCTCCCCGGCCTTCACCCCGAATGCGTCACGGACAGCAGGGGATGAT